GCAAAGAGCTGCAGAGCTGTCACCTCATATTTCTGTATTTCTGAGCACTACTGATGATTACAGCCCATGTCGGGAGGCTCAAGTCAAGTGGTTTTGCTTTGCTGGTGTCCGTGAGGCAGGGGCCTTACACCAGCTCAAATTATGATTGTGCGTACACGTGTGTGTGCATGTGTGTGTGAGATGCACAGTAGAATTGCCCCTTCCACGTATGAGGGTGGAGGGGTGTCTCTACTGTAGGTACTTATATGGCCCCATTACTGCAGTATATTCATATCCTAAATGTATAAGCAGAAGCTTTCTCTATCTGTAGTCAGCTTCATCCTCCTGCTAGCTCCATGCTTCTGCATCCGGTGGCCGTGACAGCATGACTAGGCCTGTGTGCAGAAGTGTTTGCCCCTGGAGAGGCCAGCCAGGGCTGGCTGGCAAATGATGCTAATGCAGGCCCATTTCTAGCATGGGGCTCCTCACCCTGGATACTCTGGTTCCTCATTAAGCAGCAGTTGGATATTTGTATCAGATGCTGTGTTACCGCGGGTGCTCAGGAGAAGGGGGCTGTAGTTGTTGGCTTGGGTGGGTGGTTGCTGGATGGCTGCAATTTCTTAGAGAGGGGGCTTTGGGGGCTGAATACTTGGGAATTTCTGCCCCTAATGATGGGAGTCCACCCTGGCCCTCGTGGAAGAACAGGTTGCCTTTCCCATAAGTTGTGCAGAGAATGCCTGGAAGTTTGGGCTTCAAAAAACCAATGTCACAAAGGAGCAGAAGAGAGCTGCGGTGGGTCTGGGACAGGGTTAGGGGCTGGGAGCTCCCACGTGGTAGTCCTAACTTTGCCACTGATGTCACGCGACCATGAGCAACTCATTTAGTTTCCCTCTGCCTCAGCCTTGGTGCCAGCAGTAGCACTCGGTTGTGTAGACTGTGTTGGCCAGGGGCTTGGAGAGGTCAGGCTGATGGCTGGTGTAGAGCCGGTGGCAGCATAACCCACAGCGTGGCTGCAGCTCTGCTGACAGAAGACAACTTCTGCTGTTTGGGGGAGTCAGTGCAGGCAACCAGGCAGCCTCTCTGCCCCCAGAGCTGTGTCCACACCTATGGGCCCAGCTGCCATAGGTAAAACAGCAGCACGCCCCAATGCCAACTTTCACGAAACAATCGCGAGACTCCCGATTTCCAAATCTAATGAACTCTAGCTCGTGATCTTGCGATACAACCCTCAACTCTCGGGAGTTTCCCTTCTGGTGTGTGTAAAGAGTGCCCAGCTGGTAAGTGGGGGGAGAGGGAAGGGACTGTGGGGAGAGCAGATCAAGGTCCCCATGGTGAGGGAGGAGTGGGGCTGGGGCGGGTCATGCTCCCAGCGGGGCACGTGCCCCCTAGATTTGTGTGCGGGGCAGAAGTGGGCTGCTGCTGTGGGCTGTGGCTCTGGACCTTGGTCAGTGCTGCCTTTGCCCTGGAGCCATGCAGTGCCATGTGCCTACTGCCCCTGGGCTGCCCCGTGAGCCCAGTGCTGGCCATGCTGCATCCTCTGCCTGCTTGGGGGCAGCAGCAGCAGGCACCTGGCATTGTGCGGCTCCGGAGCAAAGGCAGCAGGGCCCCAGCCCGCCTTTGCCCCTTCCTCTCCTCACCTGCTGGGTGCTGTCTCTGTGTCTGCCCCCCAATCCCAAGCCACAGCCTCCACAGCCCTGCTGCTGCCCCTCACTCCTGACCCACAGTGCCCTACATCCTGCCAGGGTGTGTGTGAACCTCCTCTTCCTGGGCTCCAACTCCACACCCTCAGCACCCCACACCTTCACAAATGATCCCCCCCCCCACATACTTCAAAAATAACATCTCATGATTTACATTTCAAATCTCTTGATCTTTAAGTGGTTGTCTCATGATTTTTGATACAGTGGGGGGTTGCAATACTTCTCTTTCCTCAGTCTAAGGGGCCAAATCTGATTGCAGTGGAGCTATGTTGATTTACACCAGCTGGGGTTCTGGTCCAAGGAGAATAATCTTCCTTCTCTGGGATAATTAGGAAACGTTTGCAAAGCTTGAGTGTTAAATACTGTTTGTGTTAAAATCGCTGTAGACTTTGTTGCTGGCTTCTTCAGCATGAGGAGTTTAACTGCAACAATGCAAATCTTCCAGATGTCCCCTCTTTTGTTGTTGTTTTTTTCTTTTAATCTCTTTTCTGCTGGCAGATCTGTGGTTAATGGGCCTCTGGCTTGCGGCTATTAATGACATTTAATTATCTCTTATTTACCAACCATCATTAACTTGAGGGAGCAAACATGGGGCCAGCCCATTTGCCAGAGCCAATCTTCAAGGAGCAACAGAAAAGAAATGAAATTTTCTTGGCACGTAGAAAAATGTACCAAGATAGTAACGCACAGTACAAAACACTTCAGTCAATAAGATCCCTCCTACACAAAGGATGCATTCATTTGGCTAGAAGGGCTTGAATAAACTCAAGGGATTTAATCTGTTCTATCCTTTTGCTTCCTTTACTTTCAAGAACCCAAGCGCGTATCTTCCTCATTATGTTTTCTTAGATCATTTTTTTTGCTTGCTGTCTTTTTTTTTTTTTATAATGCCCCCAGGGAAACACCGCACTGAAATCTGTCCACCCACGGATATCGTTTTTACCAAGCCCCCACACTGGCTTGTTTTCTCAGGCTCACTGATGTGTGCTGACCTGCCGGAGCAGATTGTTTTTCTTGGAGGGTCTCTGTAGAACAGGGTCCCACATGCTTGCACGTTGGGTGGTTATTGTAAGGGCGCTGGTTTGAACTGGGCACGCTGACTTGTTGCTGTAGGGCCGTGACTCTCAACCAGGGTGCTGCAGTGTGCAAACACCTTCGCGAGATAAACCCAGAGATTTCAAATAAGAATCGATAGTGGCAAAGACGCGCTGCCCTGCTGTGGGCTTTCTGAGCCTTTGCAACAGGAGGATTGCTTGATCATACTTCTGTAGTCAAGAAATGAGAGAGAGAGCCTGGTGTTTTTGGAGGGGTGCCTTGAAGCTAACAAGGGGTCTTGGAGTGCAGAAAGGTTGAGAAGCCCTGCTACAGGGCAGCTTGTACGTGCAGTGATTGCCCCTGTAGGCTTGCTGCTATGTTTGAGGGGTGCATCCTGGGAGTACCACATTATGAATGGATTTCTTGAAAGCACTGGGGGCTGCTGGCATTGACTTCTTTGCCCCTTTCCTCCCTTAATAAAAACAGAGCCCTGAATCATTTGCTTGTTTTTGCAGAAAATCTCTCTAAAAAGAGAGGCATGGGCCATGCCAACAGCTATAAAATCCCCACTGTAGGGTGGGTGCCTTGACCCCAAGGGTGCCCTTTCAACCACATGCTCATTTTGGGGGAATCTTTTCTTTAAAGCCTCCAGACTCCTCTTGGGGAATTGTCAGGTTTTCTCTTTCGATGGAGACATTTCCCAGGGTTGCCATGGAAATTCAGCAGGCTCATCCTTTTCTCTGTGGAGTCCAGGACTCCCTGCGTACGTGAGACAGATGGAAACAGGCTGTTCTAATGTGTTTTAGCAAGAAAGTACAAAGCATGGGTTGGGACTGTGCAATGCCTATTGCAAAGAACCGCCCGCTGCCCTGTGCCCTGTGGCCTGGCAAAGACCATGCCAAGGGGCCAAGGTCTCGGAGTGTGCGTGGAGGGGGTCACTTCTGGAAGGTAACTAGGGTTGATAACTAGGGTTCAGTTTATTCTCTGGCCTCTCTTCCCCTTTGTGAGTTTAAGCCAGGCTTGTCATTATTATGTAGTGCCATGGTGCCTCCGTTTTGAACCTGAATGCCAGTGGATTTCGGTGAGCTCTGGGTCAGGCTGTTAGTGAAAAGAAAGCTCATGATGGGGGCACTGGTGCAATATGAGCTGCTGTTGGGTGCAGCAGGAGCTGGGCAAACACCCGTCTGGGCTGCGTTAGGGAATTGCCACAGGGCAAGGCAGGCTCTTGGGATCTGTATAGGCAGGGTTTGCAGAGCAGGCTGAGCACTGGAAGGCTTCAGACTGGCACTTTTACAGAAATGCTTCATGAGCTAAAGTAGCTTAACTCCCACTGAAGCTATTGGGAATGAGAGGTGCCTAGAACATCCCCTGGGGTTTCTTTGTAAAGCTGGTCCGGTGCCATGCTTGGTGCCATATGAGGCTTTGAGCCATCAGCCCCATGCCAGAGTGGTGAACGAGAGCCCTCCAAACCCAGTTTAGAGGGTGGTTGCTTCTCCTTGCTATTCTGATGGCCCCTGTCCCCAGCAGTATGGACTGATTTGAAGTTGGAGGCTCTGGTAGTGAGGAGCTCTCTGTTTTCTGGCTCCAGAGATGCTTCTATCCTTGCCCCATCTCCCTCCCTGGCTGCATGATTGCAAGCAGCTGTATGTGCGAGTGCTAACGTTCATTATAGAGCTGGAGTCTGGCTCTAAATCAGTGGTGTTTGAAGTCCAGCTTCCCCTGCCAAAGCCCAGTGCATGTTTGATGTCAGTGCCTTTCCAGTGAGTGTGCTGGATCCTATCTGCTACGGAGAGCTACCTCTTCCTAAGCCGGCTTGCGGCTTCCCCCCTACCCAGCCTGTCTACCCTCCGATGGTCATAAAGCTAGGGGAGCTGTTTACCCCATACCCTGTTCTCTCCCCCCTTTGGAAAGTTACCTTTGGGGGTGGCTCTCCTTTGCACTTGATTATCAGGTCATCCCAAACTGGTCTGATTCTTCCCCCCTCCAACGCGCACGCGCGCACACAGACACACACACACACACACACACACTTCTTCCCCTTCATTGCCAACTGACCCAGAAGCGAAGGAGTCACCCTGGCCCATGAAGAGCTATTTAACCTGTTTTCATCTGGGGGTCTCTTAGGGCGTGGAGGGGCTCTTTGGAGGTTTCTTTCCCTTTAACAGGCTTAGATTTCACCCATTGTGCATGACCACTGGGCAGAAAGGCAGGCATTATCTTCAAAACCATCCTTTCTGACTGGCGCTTCTCGATGTGTTTCTTCTTCCACCCTTGTGCGGTGACCAGACTTGGAGACACACCCGTGCGGAGGGATGGGCAGCGCTGGCCACGGGCTGACCGCTCTGCCTCACAGCCGCATCGCCCTTCAGGACACCCTGCTGCTGACTGGCCTGGAGAAGCCGCCTGTCATACGGGACCCTGACACCTGCAGCTGGAGCTCCCTCGACAGCCCCAGCCCTCCAGCCACTCCCGAGCAGACCCTTCCTGCCTTCTACGTCCATTACTTTGACATGCTCTACTCCGAGGAGGCTGGCTGGGTGCCCAAGGGCCTGGCAGAAACTCTGCAGGGCAGCAGCCAAGGGGGAAGGGGCGAGGTGCAGAAGGAGCCAGAGCAGTGCCCCATCATCGACAGTCAGGGCTTTGGGCTGAGCCCTGACATGGACTACCAGGCCAGCCTTCACCTGGAGGAGCACTCGCTGGAGCAAGTGCAGAGCATGGTGGTGGGCGAGGTGCTGAAGGACATTGAGACGGCCTGCAAGCTTCTCAACATTGCAGCAGGTGGGTGCTCTTTTCTGTCCCTTGGTTTTTGCTCTCCGGCAGGGGCAGCTCAGTGCCTGGTAGGAGCCTGCAGAGCTCCGGGTTGAGCTGGGGAGTTGTCTCTCTTGCTGGCTGGCTTGGATTTAGCCAGGTGGTGGCTGGGATTCATCCTGGTCTATCTGCTCTTGATTCAGTGCAGTGGCAGGCATCCTGGACCCACACAAGCTGCTGGGGTCTCCCTATGGTCTTCGCTGACCTTTGTTTGGGTCCTAGCTGTCCCCCTTGCTGCTCTCAGCAGAGCAAGCGTCTAAGGGACTGGGCTCCCATCTCGCACATAATGGGCATCTCCCCAGGGCAAGGCTGAGACATGTTCTCAGGGGTCTGGCCCAAAACCCAGGAAAATGCCCCTCTCCACCATCAGCTTCAGCAAATTTAAGGTCAGGCTCTAGAGTTGACTGTCACTAGCTCACCCTGGGATTATGGGCAGTTGTGGAATGACAGGTAGGCTAGTAATCACCCCTCCCCCTTGGGAAAGCACTCCTATTGGAAAGAAATACAAATAAACCATTCCAGTGGTTGGCCTTGAGCAGCTGGCCACGAGTAACACGCTGACATGGCAGCATCTATTGCACCTGGATCCATTGCTGAAGCAGGGTCCAACCTTTGCCAAAGGTACCTAGAATGGTCCGCCATCCTACGAATGCTTTCTTAGGAATGAACAGATCTTTCCTATTGCCAGCATCAAGGATATCGTGGGATGTATTTCATGGAGCTGGTGGGGAAGGTCTTCTCCAAGGCAGATCAGTGCTGTGGAAAACTGTGTAAGGCTGGGTGGGGAGGGAGCAAGTTGTTGTTTTTCTGTTCCTTCATCTTGTCTGATTTCCTGCTCCGGACTTGGCAGAGCATGTGGTGGAACATGCGGTATCCAACAGAACCGGCCTCTCTTGGGTGCAGGAGAATAAAGGCTGCTTGCCATTGACGTCAGTGGCAAATCTGGGTGGCAGGGTCATAATACAGAAAACTAAGTGCAACGTGCATGAACCACAGGGCAAGAGAGTCACAGTGAGAATGAAATCAAGGCTGGTGCAGTGGCCAAGGCAGCTCGTCCCTTGGAGCCAAGTGCCCTGGAGTGATAGTGCCAGGGCTAGAGTGTTTGCCCTGCCAGTCCCATCTTGGGATAAAGTCATCCTGCAGACGTATCAGTGCAGGAGCGGGAGAGATCTGTGGAAGTGCATGGATTTGCCAAGCAGGCTGCGGTAGGGGACTTCTGGCCCTAGTCACAAAGGGGTTTAGCTTGAAGTGGGAAGGGACAGAATAATAGAAAATGGGGTTGGAAGGGACCTCAGGAGGTCACGTCTAGTCCAACCCCCTGCTCAAAGCAGGACCAGCCCCAACTACATCATCCAAGCCAAAGCTTTGTTTAGCAGGGTCTTAACAACCTCCGAGGATGGAGCTTCCACCACTTCTCTGGGTAACGTGTTCCAGTGTTTTACTACTCTTCTAGAGAGAAAATTATTCCTAATATCTAACCCAAACTTCCCTTGCTGCACCTTGAGACCATTGCTCCTCGTTCTGTCATCTGCCACCACTGAGAACAGTCAGCCACTTCAGCCATTTGCTCTTCTGATGGCTGCATCCAGCTCAGGGTCTGCGCCTGCTCCCAGGGGGATGGTGGGAGTTTTGTCACTGACTTCAGTGGGGTTAAGATGGAGCCCAAAGCATGGCCATCATGCTGAGACAGTGAGAAATTGCACCTTGTGGGTCCAGCAGCAACCCTGGGACACAGCAAACTGCCTCTTGATGGTGCCTCTCTCTGCAACGGGGTGATAAATTCAAGGCCTGCAAACCTGAACTGAAGATGGAGACTTCTGCAAATCAGGCTGATGGGAACAGTCAGTTTTAACACCTACTGTGTGCTGGTGGGAATGGCAGGTCTGCAGGTGCATAAGACCAGGGAGCAAGGAGGACGGTGCTTCATGTAGAAATATGCAGCAAGCGCAGGCAGGGAGATCAGTGGTTTGCATGAGATGCGTTTATCTGCAGTGATCAAACTGGGGTCTGTTCCTCAGCCGGAGTGAGTCTGCAGGGCTCTGGGAATTTACACCAATTGACTATCTGCCCCTATTACATACCTGGGGACATATAAAGATCCCTGTGGGGTTTTTTGCTGAGGGTGGAGCAGGGACCTGAGCTGCAGCTCCTGGCCCAAGTGCCCTTGGAGTTTTGCTGAGCCCAGAACCACCACAGGACTGTGGCTGAGTCCATGCTTCCTCCTCTACCTTCAAAGTTTGCCCTCCCTCTGGCTCCTGTGACATCTCCAGTCACCCAAGTGGAAAGAGCCACTGAGATATTAAGGCTTTAATAGTTAACACCGATCCAGGCCCGTCTCTGACAGAAATCACTGCAGGTCTTCTGAAGGCGGTGAGACCCCGCTGCCCGAACCCTTGCTGATGCCCCTCTCCTGCAGCCCGAGTAAAGCGGGTTGTCGGTCTCTCCTGGGTGCTCCGGTGGCAGACGTAGGCTCGAGGCAAAGCCAGGCTGTGTTCCCCAGCCAGGTGCTCTGTCAGAGGGCCCTGCCGTTTCCCAAACAATGGAGATGGGAACAAAGGGAATTGACAGGCAGAGGAAAAATGTATCCCTTTAGGACAACTAGCCCTTCGAACAGGTCATACTGCTATTGCTTTCCACTGCGGACGCACAGGGCGTGCACGCTCTCCGGGGAGCGTTGCTTTGGAAGGGAGCTCTCTGGCTGGGTTAGGTGCAGACAGATGGGCTCCTTGCAGCTGGGGCTGTGTGTGAAGCCAGCTTCTGATGCCTCTCTCCACCCATGGGCTTTGAGAGCTGTTGTCCGAGGTGGATGTAATGTAGTACGAAAGGGACTTCATTTCTAGGGTGCTTGGGGCAAAAAAAAAAAAAAGAGGCTGGGAGCACAGGGGAGCATAAGACCCATTGTCCTTTCAGTCCTGTATTTCTGGTGCAGTAGGTTGAGACGGGATGGGCAGCTCTCCCGCGAGGAGCACTGCTTGCCCAAGGCAGGGATGGGAGCTGCTGCTAGAAGGCAGATGCCACGCTCCCTGCTCCTATGACCCTTGCAGAGCAAGCTTTGGAGGGGAGGGGTCTTCAGGTCCCCACTCACCAGGGCCCCTGGGGGTGCATCTGTCTCTCTCTCAGACCCAGCAGACTGGAGTCCAGGAAACGTCCAGAAGTGGATCTTGTGGACGGAGCACCAGTACCGCCTGCCCCAGATTGGGAAGTCTTTCCAGGAGCTGTCGGGGAAGGACCTGTGCGCCATGTCCGAGGAGCAGTTCCGCCAGCGCTCCCCCGTGTGCGGGGATGTCCTGCATGCCCACCTGGACATCTGGAAATCGGGTACGAGCTGGCAGGTGGGGAGGGATCAGCCGGGGTACATTAAGAGCTGAAGACTCATTGGTGCTGATCTGCTCGCATGTTCTCCAGGGGTGTTTGGGCCTCACGGTTTTGTTATCTGCTGCTTGGGGCAGGTGGGGGATTCTGCTTCCCCTGCATGAGGGTCGTGCTCTGTGTCACCCCCAACCTTATTCCCTTGCAGCTGCCTGGATGAAGGAGAAAGTGGGGCCAGGAGAAGTGCGATACTGTGGTGAGTTCTCTTGGGTCATGGGCATTGCTTTCAGCCAGGAGAGGGGCCAGGGGTTCAACCATGACGTTTCCCTTTTTGGTGCAGTAGTTGCAGTTATCTGAAGCATCACCTCTCCTCTGACCATGCTACATGTGTTATCATAACTAATTATGCGAGTGGTAATTTTTACTACACTTTTAATTAGTCCCTTATAGCCAGGTTAGTAAGCCCAAAGGTGGCGATTGGCTCTGTCTCTGGCTTTTGTGACCCCATGATCTGAGCACCTTGTGATCTGTACCATGTTTGTCCCCCTGTGAGGTAGCCCCATCTTAAAGAAAGGGATTTGAGGCACAGGAAGATGAAGGTCCAGGTTGTCCAAGGTATTTGGGAGCTGAGTTCCTGTTGAAAGGCCCGGTAAGGGCCTGTCAAGGTTGCACAGGAAACTTGCAGTAGACTGTGGTTCTGTGAGTCTCAGACTAGTGCTGTCACTGCCAGGTCTTCATCCCCGGGGTCAGTAGTGAGGACTTTCAGCCACTAAGGACCTGGGTGTGGTTTGTACCAGCAGGCTCCTTCTTGCACATCCCGTCCCCAGAACTGTCCATTCCTCTGCCGGCAATGATCAATTAACCCCTGGGGTCTGATTCCTTCCTGTTGCAGCGAGTGACGAGAGCTGGGCGGACAGTGAGGTGGACTCCTCGTGCTCAGGCCAGCCCATCCACTTGTGGCAGTTCCTCAAAGAGCTGCTGCTCAAGCCTCACAACTACGGACGCTTCATTCGCTGGCTCAATAAGGAGAAAGGTGAGCAAGACTGGTGGGGTGGGGCCTCGATCTGTTGGGGAACTCGGTCACCTCCTGTGTCCACGATAATACTCCTGGACCCCCCGCAACGACAGGTGGATGATCCATCACTGGAGCTTCCCCAGGCTCTCAGGGTCACTCCTACCACCTGTCCACATTTGGCCTGCTCTGCTCTTTTTGCACTTAGACAATCCAGCCCCAGTTCATATTGGTACAGGCAAGGTCAGACCGGGCCCTAAGCTGAGGGTACATCTCTGTAGGGTGGAGCAGTGTGGTGTACCTATCATTTCCTTAGCTGCATACAGTGATGCTGATCCCAGTTCTTTGTCTGTTGCTCACACTGTAGGAAGCATCTGTTATATGCATGTTGGCAAAGGGTATAGGAGCTCTTCAACCCCACTGTTTACTTGGTAGCCTAATGCACTCAGTTGACCTTCATCATGGGGGAAAGTGGCTAGCAGCCATCTGTGTCAAGACTTCTAAAGGAGCTCTGCACTGCCTGGGTCCTGTCCATGTTTTAGCAGCATAAGGTGCTTTTGAGATGCAAGATGAAGTGCAAAAAGCTTAGGGAGCTGTTCCTGTAGTAAATGAGCCTCATTTACATTGAGTTCAGGCAAGTTGAAAGGCCCAGGAGTACACACTTACCAGAAATCAGTGTGTGCTGCGTTGGTGAGTCAACCTAGATACAAATCTAGGTGACACCCCTACCTCCACCCTTGGCCAGGAGCTGGGAGGGAAAGTGGGTTGGTTCACAGAGTTGCTGGGAAACTTGTCCCTCATTTCCCTTCTCTAACTTCCTTCCCTGAACCGAGGTGCCAGTCACAATCTGGAGGCTTTCTTTTATTATCTGTATTCCAGCACTGCTCTACAGCCTGCTCCCATTGTGCTCGGAGCTGTATCTGCAGTGTCCCAGAGCCAAAGGCTTTACAAGGCAGATAAAGGGTGGGAAGGGAATGGCAGCTCAGAGAGGGGAACTGGCTTCTCCAAAGGCATCCAGTGAGTGGCTGACAAAGCTGAGGGTCTCCAGAGCTTCTTGGAGGCCATGGGTCATACGCTTGCATCCTATCTCCCCATTTCCTTTCTCCCTACTTAGGTATATTCAAGATTGAGGACTCTGCCCAGGTGGCACGTTTGTGGGGGATCCGGAAAAACCGGCCAGCCATGAACTATGACAAGCTGAGCCGCTCCATCCGGCAGTATTACAAGAAAGGCATCATTCGGAAACCGGACATCTCCCAACGCCTGGTCTACCAATTCGTACACCCTGTCTGAGCGCGGGGGCTGGAGGAGGGGGAACTGACTGAGCACCTGGAGGGAGGGAGGTCTCTCTCACTGCTGCACCTCCCATGCCCTTCCAAAACCACCACCAAGAAAGACAGATGAAGCCTTGGGTTGTGCAGGAGGCTGGAAACCCAGCGAACTTCCCTGATGAACCTCAGAGCTTCCAGCCTCCCCCAAGCCACAGAGCATGTGTGTGTGGGGGGAATGGACTCACATAGATAGGAAGACACCACAACTAGCAACAACTGCCCATGAAATAGAGTGTATACATGTAATTCTGGGGCCTATGGATGTGTGTAGAGAGTCCTCTGCTCCCTCTAATGAGCTTCAGGGTTGGGGGGAGAGGCAGGCTTAGAAACTGGGTAGGGGCAAGGGATGCAGCCTGGAAGAAATGTCATATCAATAGAAGTGACCTGACCATTGTGGATGAGGCTAAGGTGTGTGTGGGGGGAGGAAAGGGGGTGGTTGTTAACAGCTTCTCGGACCTGGAAGTCTTTGGCTGTGTGACCTGCCACACAGCATAGCAGAGCTGCTGGGTGCAGAACCCAGGATCCATGGCCTCCAAGTCCCTTGCGCGGAGATAGGGAAGAGGCATTGATGTAGTGATCCAATAGCGGGTCTGTCCTCTCCTCTTCTGGGCAGTGGCCAGTACCGTGTGCTTTGGGGACCTCTTCGGGGATACGATATCCAGCCCCAGCTAATGTTTTGTCCTATCTCCCCTCAGTTACTGGTTGGCTTATACCCAAAAGAGATGGACAGCTTCACCAAGACTTAAGTCAGATTCAGCTTCTGCTCAGGTTGAAGCTTCCCCTTCCAGGCAGGGGACTTCTACATTATCCTGACTTTGCTTGTCCTGAAAAGTCCCCAGGGAGAAATTGTCCCAGCACTTCTCCTAGCCTGGCTCCTTCCTGGTCAGCACCAGGTCCTTGCAGGGACAGGGAAGAGGTTCACCTCCCTGCATCCACCGGGGGTCTTTCATCATGGAATAGCTCTTATCACTAAAGGCAGATCTGGAAAAGGGCTAGTGATCTATCTGGGGCCTCTTCCCTGAAGGGTCAGTCCTTTAGCCATGGTAATTCCTCCTAGTTGGTTGGTTCCAGTATTAACCAGAGGCCGTGTCACTTGGTGGGTCACCCCTTCCATGATACATCAATAGTCAAAGAATGGCTTTCACTCAGGCAATTTTCCCATCTTCCTATCCACAACCGATATGGCAATGCTCCCATAGCCATGCCCAGCCTTGCATGGTATTGCATGGCTCAGAGGGTCTCAGGGCTGTGGCAGGGCTCCCAGCCAGAAGAACCAAGGAGGCTTTTCTGGAAATGCAGATGCTAGAGAGGGGCATCCACTGCCCTGCCATCCTGGTTTGGTCTCTTGGCACCAGGGAAAAGCCAAGATGGCCGGTAGCATTTGCTGCAGTTGACAGTCTCGCATTGGTCTGGCTGCCCAAGGACACTTCATCTTTATCTTCCTGTACCCCAGACTCCCCACGTCTCACTTCCCCCTGAGAAACCCAGTAGCCCTTTTTTGCTCTGCCCCTTGGCACCGTTTTGGTACCAAGGAGCCAGATTGCAAAGCTGGTTACACTGGTGCAAACCTGGAATCCACCTTTGAGCTGCTTCTGGGATGCTCTGGATTTATGCCAGTGTAAATAAACCAGAATCGAGCCCTGAGTGTTACTCTGGGGTCAGTTATGCTGCTTACCCCAATCATTCTCCTCTTGATGTTGCTGAGAGCAGCCACAGCTGTAAAGGAAAGGAGACCTTGGCTCCTGGAGGGGATTTCTGGTTGGTTGCTGGGGACTTAGTGGAGAACCAGCGATGGACTGACTGGGCCAAACCGTGCTGATGAGCTATGATTTGAGACCAGAGCTGAAGGGACTGAACCCAGCTAGTTTCTCCTAAACAGCTGCAGTGACCATTTTCTGGTATTGTTTGTGAAAGGACAGAGTCACCCCTGTGCGGTGTTGTGAGCAAGGCTCACTTGAGAGGAAAGACAATAGGATTATACACGGCAGCCTTCTGCCAGGGCTCACGCTGACCCGAGGCTGGAACATGCTGGCACCTGGCTGCATCAGGAGGCCAGCTGGCCAAGCCGCAGGCTAGCACTGACAAGCTTTTCTGAGTAGCACGGAGTCCACAAGCCACGTGGTATGCAGGAGAGCTTGCTGGGTTGTGCTTGTACTTCCTAGGTGGCTGGGCTGATTGGCAGAGGCTATCAATCATAGGTTGATCTCCTGAGCAAGAGCAAGCTGCAAACAAAGCTGGACCCATTGATCTTGCATCCTTCTGTGCTGCTCTCCTTTCTTTTTCTTTTTTTTTGCCTTGGGGCAGAATGAAGGCACCTTAGCAGGTACCCCTTTTCACCCAGTAGCACCCCAGGGTTGGTGGCTGGTTCGAAGCAGACATCACATGCACGTCTGCAGCAAATCTGCCTACCCTGTGCCAATAACAAAGGCAGGGGTGGGGAGAGATATCAAGGTTGCTCTTGAAGGAGGTTTGCAGTGGGTAGCACAGTAGCTGGGTTGGATTCTGGTCAGCCAAGGTTCAGCTTGTTTTGCAGCATGGATGTATTCTGCCACGCTGATGCTCTGCTTGAATAAGGGGACCCACTGCCGCTGAAAGATCGGCATGCAGCCAGGGCAGTGGCCAAGTGAACTTTCCTATTGCCACTTCCGGCTTCAATCCTCCTTTGGCAGGCCCCTTTCTGTTGCCAGCAGGGGAATTTGGCCTGTACCTGATACCAGCTCATGCTGCAAAATTTGCACCTAAGTTTCAAAGTCCCCAAGACATTTGGATCTGGGCTTTTGATTCAGATCATCTTGGAGAATGAGGCTGCTTGCACAATTCAGATCAAGGTCTGGGTCCCCACACAACCGCCCTCCTCCAGAGCTACCTCTGAGCTCTGCGCCCAGTTGGGCCCTTTACTTTGCTGTTCAGACCACTGGCGATGGCTGTTCTTGTGCCGTGGGCACCTGCTTGGACAAAGTCCCTCCCAAACTTGTGTCCCTTTAGTCATTACATAGGACCTTTTTTGACTGCCATTCTTGTACATGTTTTAAAGGGATTTTTTTTTAAACATCTCTCCGGGTTTCTCCCAGGGGAAAAATAAATCAACGGAAGCTCACAGGCTTATGAAATAGAACTTGGACTGCCAGCCAAGGGACTGTTTGAACTGTACATTTCATAACAGGCTAAGTTACCTGGCGTTGTTGATCTTCTATATTATAATTTTTTATTTGCTTTCTTTGGGTTTTGGCTCACGAGATGTTGTGACTTCGGCTCAAACGAAGAGTCGAGAAGGGAATGGAGGATGTTTGAAATGGTTTGTGAGAGTTTAAAAGACAATATATGTGCTTTTTTTTTTTTTAACTTGCACTGGCTTCTTGTTTTGATTGCTGCCTGTCTTTCTGTTGGCTCTGTGGTGTTGATGTGTAAGAGCTGACGAGCCCTTTGCCTCCCTTGCAAATGGCATTTCTTTGCCTTGAGGCTGCGGTGCCTTTGGGAGGGAAGAGGGAAAACAGCTTCTTGTTGGCTGGAAAACGCAGTGAAGTCTGGGCCTCGTGATACTTTGCCTGGTGCGCTTGTGTTTTGAAGGTGCATGAAGCCGGTACAAGCCAGGGGCTAATGTGTGCTGGCAGAGACTCCTGGAAGCAACCCTTTCTCTGTTGTAATAATCCAGGCTCTGGGCTTTATTTGTCATGGAAAGTGTGTGTGTGTGTGGTATATGCATACACAGGACGGTGAGTAGGTTTTCATGCTTGTGTGTGTGAGCACTTGTGTGCACCTGCCTGTCCCTGTGCATGGTCCCTGCATGTACCTGTCCTCACCTGTGCAAGTGGCAAGAAGAAACAGGTGCAAAGCAGTGAGGCAGTGGAGAGAAACTCCAAGTGCTCTCCACCTAGGATTTTGTTGTACAAGGTCAGAAGCCCAAAGGCCTCTCTGTTAAGGATTTTGTTGTACAAGGTCAGAAGCCCAAATGCCTCCCTGTTCCCTCTGTCCATCCAGCCTCAAACGTAGGTCTTCTAGGTCTTGCTAGGTCTTCAGCCCCTTTCCTAGGACCTACACCTTCTGGGGTAGCCTGGGCACCCACCAGGGTTGGGAGGTAGGATCCAGTCTTTGCTACCATGTTCTTCTCATTTGAAAATGACAAACACCAAAGGCGGGAATGCCCTGAGTGTCTGTCCTTCGATGATCAAGTCCCTTTAAAGTATCTCTAGTGAAGAACCCAACATCCCTTGTCCCTCCTGAAAAATCTCAGCTCTTACGATAGATCTTCGCTTGCACCCCTTCCTCTGGTTGCGAAGGTGGTGCACTCTTGCATGGGCATTTGGGTGGAAATGCCCAGTCATCCCTTGGCATAACCAGCCCGTCTACCCAGAGGCAAAGGTCTGTCTGCCCCACTGGAAAACAGTGCCCTTACAGCACTGGGTGAGGGCACCCTCTTGCTCTGGGAGCAATCTCAGTGGCTCTTCCAAGTAACAAGGCCACACACACCGTGCATGAATAAAATAATCATTTTTATTTAGTACTGTATATTTAAGTATTCTCTATTTGTTCTTATGGAAGAAGAGGCAGCCTTGCATGACACAGATACAGTCGCTTTCTACTAGAATGTAGCTTTGCTCAAAAGTAACACTGTTTAATTACAGTCTTGAGAGCTCCCTGACCCGCTCGGGACTCCGATGGGAAACACTAAACAAAGGAAATCCTTCCTCCTTGCCTGTCCTCCCCTGCAGAGAGACATTGGAACTATATTAAAAGTCAATGGCATTATTTTAACCACTGGAAATCCTGTTCCCTTCTCTTTGAGCCCTGGAGATTCTCCCCCTTCCACAGCGCATCCAGCTGTAAAGCCTCCTAGCCTTTTGGTAGGGATTCAAACCAATGGGTAGCAAGGGAGGGTGCTGGAAAACTTCTCTTCCCAAAGACTTCCCGCAAGCCCTGGAAGATCTCTTGTGGTCCATTTTTGCCATCCAAGTGTGGACCCACTCCCTTGGGACCTGTCTGAGGTCCTGCTGGGAGACCATTTTCAAGCCCCAGTGATATATTGAGCATGTGCTGACAGCTGCCTTCTCAGGGGGGTCGCATGAGACGGCCCTAGGATAGGAACTACTGCCATTCAGTACTTGCCTGCTAAGTATCCTTGGGCTGTGCCTGGGGCCCTTCTAGGAGGAGTCAGCTCCAGCTATTCAGTGGGTGGAGGAATGGTGTTCCTATGGAGTCCCAACCCCATTCCTGGGGGCTGAATAATCAAAGAGCCAATCTTGCAAGATGCTGATGCCCCACCACTCCTACAGCCCCTGCAAGAGTTCAAGGTGCTCAGCATCTCCCTGCTTTGAGTCTTTGCTTTGTAATTCTCCCTCGTGTTTGGCTTGTTGATTCCCTCTCCGCCTCTAGGGCTTCCTGGCATCTAATGACCTCTTTAGTTGGGCAACTGCCCTGCAAAGACTGTTCACCCACAGAAGTCACCATCACCTCTGGTTCCTGCTGGCTGTGCCCAGCTACTGGAAGCGAAGCTGGCTGGCTCTGGGGGGATGGGTTGCTTGCCATTCTCTACAGAGAATAGGCCAAGCTCTCCCTAGTGTGGCTCAACTGACTTTGGTGGAGTGCCATGAAAGACGAACTTGGCATTGGCAT